ACTTTTTATGTATAAATACCCCATCATATTCAGCGGCATTTTGATGTATTGAATGCAATGCCTTTTTTTTCGATTGTGCACCCCCTTAAAGATAGCGTTAAAACATTATAAAAACGAACTTTATATCTTTAAAACGAAGATATAGCGATTTGTTTTCTTCTTCTTCAGCAAAAATGTGCATTTTTAGAATACTTACAACTTTGTAGAACATTGCAAAACTTGAGCAATTCAAACAAAAAATTTATCGTAAAAACGGTTTTTAACGGGGTACTACCATAGAGGTAACTCTAAGACCACTGGGTCCCGAAGAAAATCATTATTATTTTTGGCTCACTCAGTACCAGAACAACGGTCCCAAGCAGTCCCAAGCTATTTCACTCACCCCTGCATGTTCTGCATGAATCCACACACCCCTGATGTTATCTGTCAAACTTTCATAGCGAATCAAAACAAACATAGTGTAGTAATAGAATTTCAACTAGAATAGGGTACGTTAATCGTTTGCTTGGGACCAATAGGCTACTAAAGTGGTGAGCCAATTTAAAATCGTTAGTTTCGTATTGATTGTTGGTACTACCATAGAGGTAACTCTAAGACCAGAAGGTTGCGAAGAAACGTGCTCCAATTTTTGGCTCAGCTCTGGTACTATCTTCGGTTCCAAGCTAATCGATGCACCCCTCGAAACATAGAAAAATCCACGAACCCCTCATTTTATCTGTCAAACTTTCATAGCAAATCAAAACAAACATAGTGTAGTACTAGAATTTCGACCAGAATGGTATACGTTAATCGATTTGCTTGGGACCAATAGGCTAGTCAAATAGTGAGTCAATTTAAAATCGTTAGTTTTCACCGGTTGGTACTACCACGTACTACCGTTTGTACTCCATGGTCACCTTATAACCAACAATCAATACGAAACTAACGATTTTAAATTGGCTCACCACTTTAGTAGCCTATTGGTCCCAAGCAAACGATTAACGTACCCTATTCTAGTTGAAATTCTATTACTACACTATGTTTGTTTTGATTCGCTATGAAAGTTTGACAGATAACATCAGGGGTGTGTGGATTCATGCAGAACATGCAGGGGTGAGTGAAATAGCTTGGGACTGCTTGGGACCGTTGTTCTGGTACTGAGTGAGCCAAAAATAATAATGATTTTCTTCGGGACCCAGTGGTCTTAGAGTTACCTCTATGTTATAACTTCGTTCTCTTGAGAGATAGAAAATGGTCGCATTGGGCAAAGTTTTTTAAAATGACTTTATCTACAATATTTTCATATAGGGGAAATGCAGGTAATGTCGGCCTAAGTGTCCCTAATTTGGGCCCATACAAAAATTCAGCAATCGACTAAATTTTCAATAGCCATTAGTAACGTTCCAATAACGCGTTCATCTAGATAAAATAGATAAATAGTAGATTTTTAGCGATGGGCCCAATCTTAGATCCATAGGCCAACATTAGAGACATTTCCCCTATGTAAGGTGCTTGAGGGTGGCCAGTGCATACCGCACTATCTCGAGAGAGGCCGTCTGTGTCATAGCAGGGATGATGCCAATCAGCCTTATCATTAAGGAGGATGTGGTGTGCTATGACGCGAGGACCGTTCGAGGGGTGCGCAACAACGCGCACCACCGCGTGTGTGTCGACCGCGAGATGGCAATCGGAGTGGGAAAACTCCACAAAGGGGAGGTGGACTTGCCGCTTGATACCTTCCGTATCGGGGCGACTCTGGCGTAGTGGTTAGCATCCATACCTATCACGCTGGAGTCACGAGTTCAAATCTCACCCCCGGACAAGTCACGAATGACCCAAGAGTGACTAAATAAAAAAAAAAAAACCTTCCGTATCAAGCTGGGTCAACAGGCGCCATGGGGAAGTAAACTTCCACCTGACACAGTTCCTGTCAGGCCATGGCTGCTTTAGGAGCTACCTGTATAGGTTCGGACAAGCAAGTACTCCCATCTGCCCCACATGCGCTGGTGTCGAGGAGACCGCCGAACACGTTGTGTTCGCCTGTCCACGTTTCGAGCCAGTATCGAGCGCTAAGCTAGCGATATGCGGAGCGGATACCAGTCCGGATAACATAGTTCCTAGGATGTGTGGTACCACCGAGAACTGGAGCGCGGTGGTGACTGCGGTCACCCACATAGTTTCGGTATTACAACGACAGTGGCGAGCCGAGCAGCAGTTACCTACTGCCCGACTAGATCGTTAGAGTATTGCTAGAGAGGCGCCATAGCGCTACAGCGGCCCCTCCCACGAAGTAATGCCTTCGGGCGGTTCCGGGGAGGTCAAGGGCCAAGTGCACAGGGTAAGGTTTAGTGGGTCGGGAGTGAAATTCTCCCATCCCCACACCCTGAGTTCCTTCTCAGGTGTCTGTGAGCAGATTCCCCCCTGTATGTAAAAAAAAAAATGGGTCTGGGTTCAATTAAAGATTTTGCTCTAGTTTTCTTATTTCAAATTTCTCAGCAAAGGTGTCTTCAAATAAATTTTAGATCTTTAGAAGGCGCAAATTTTTGCTGCACAAAAGCTTGTCAATATCTTTCGCTGATCAAGAGTTATTGAAGTTATTCTACTAAAAACATGCCCTTTTAAAATATTAATATCTCTGGTTGGGGCAAACAAAAACAAGTTTTTTACGGCATTCAAAAAAGCGTATGTTATTGTCAATAATGTGAAAAAATTGAAGGCATGTTATTTTTTAAACTCGTATAAAATCAATTGGAATTTATTCATATTTTTTACTATAATTGAGTATACCTTTTTTATTAGAAGACCACAACTATAACAATGAAACGTGCATCTTAAAGAGCTTTACAAGTCTCTAGAAGATGACTTTCATGAGAAATTTCAAATAAAAAAGTTATTGGCAAAATATGGTTTTCATAGGACCACCCTAATGACAAATTTACATAAAATGTGCTAGTACATTTTTTTTTTTCAAAATTTGGACATTTAGTGTATTCGAAGAAGTTTTTGTGCTTAAAAATTGCTCCTTGTATCAATTTATGATTCCATTCTTGACCGATTTGAAAGGAGATGAAGAAGCAGAATGTTATAGGACAAAATGTTGAGCTAAAAGGCTGTCATCAAAAATAACGCTGCGTTCTCCGAACAAATGCGCATATTCGTCATAATTTATTATACTAGCAAAAAAAAACCTGCCATTATACGCCATACTGCTTTCGATCCTGATTTCAACGATGGTAGCCTCGCGTCCTCGCGAGGATCCCGTCTGCTTCAATCTTTCGTTCTCAGAGATTTGAATCTTCTTCGTTCTTCCGAATAATTTGCTTTTTTGCTGTTGCATATATTTGCTTATTTAGAGTATATGGATAGAGAGTAGTGTTGTATGTAGATACCTTGCATCACTCACAAAAATGTCTTTCTGAATCCATCCGTTTTTTTTTCCACATTCAAGAAAACTATATAACGGGGAAAATGCTTAAGGTTAAACTTCCGTCAGCTTTCGTTTTAGAAACGAGAGCAAGGAATTGAAAAAAGAAACTAGTAGTCACACAAAGAACCATCATCACCAAAAAAGTGTATGTGTGTTGTTGCTGTTGTTGTTAAGTACCTACTCCATCGGCTTCCAGGACTATCAAGGGTCAGAATCCCAATAACTTGTTTGCGTAGCAGCACTGTTGGCTCTCATTAGAATCGTACGTTATTGTATCATTAGTTCGGAGATATTGTGGGTGGTTACAAATATTGTTACTTGTTCTTTTAAATACGATTATTGATTCCGAAAGGATTCCCAACGGGTTACGTTTCCAATAATTTGTATATAAGATAATCAGACACACGTACTATATTCACATCGGTTATTAGAAAGTAATACCTAATTGATTGCTATGTTGCTTCGTTCGAGTGATGCATTTCGAAAATATCGGAACAATCTAAACCAACCAACCAACCAACCAACCGGAATTCGGTTCCGGAAAGCAATAAGCAAATACAATGTGGTACCTGAATGAAAGAAAACGGTCAATAATGACAAACATCGATAATAATATTTGGCAGTATGGTGTTGCTATTTGCTGGCCACGCTTTCGATCAAGCGACAACCAAAGCATGAAAGAACTGCTGCTGCTGTTGTTGTTGTTGTTATTGTAATAGGTTGATGAGGTGCTCGAATTCTGTCACAACTTGTACATAATGTTGCTTCGATCTGTCGAGTCACCTCCGGAATGGTTCCCTCCTCTATTGTTGCTATTGTTATTAATATGGTCATGGTCGTTCGAACCGGAACGATAACTTTTGATAGTATATTCATAGATATGATTGCTGCTGAAACGTGAGCTGCCACCGCCTCCCGATGCCATCCGGCTGCTGGTGAGAGGGTTCCTAACCGAGTTCCTACCCCGATCACCCATCTCGACCCCACCAATGGTCACCCCTGCCCCTGCATTCGAGCTATAATGGATCGTCCCAAAATGCTGCTGGGAATGGGTAGCTGCCCTGAAGCATCTTACCGCCGAACAGATTATCGAACACCATCGCCAGGAGTGCGTTCCGTTGCCAGCTCCGCCTCCACCACAACCCCCCATCGATGATGACGAAGACGATCCCACCTTGGTGACGATATGCTGCCCAACCTTGGGCAGAAGCTTCAATCGATTCGATTTATGATTATTGTTTCTATCACCAATGCCACGGGCATTAATTCGTTCGTTGCTTCCGTCACTCTCGTCCAAGCTGGCATCACTTCCGCCACTACTTCCGCAACCGCTATCGTGCGAATTGAACGGACCGCTGTAGCCTCCATCGTTGTTGTTATCGATCGCGACCGCCGGAGTAATGATCAACAGTTGACTGAACTTTTTCCCTGTCGAAACGCGAACAGCCGTCGCTTTGGCCATCGTCGAACGCGTAGTGGAGCGAATCCGCGTGAAGCTAGAAGTATGCACGCTGGCTATTGCGCTGTTCCCATTGTTGCCGTTGTTGTTGTTGTTGTGGTTGCTATTGCTACCGTTACTGCTGTTGTTGTTGGTGTTGTTGGTGTTGCTGCTGCTGCTGCTGTTGTTGTTGCCAGTGCTGGTACTGGCAAACACGATATTGTTATTCTGACCGATGTTGCTGACTGCGGAGATTGTCCATCATCTTGCTGGTTCCTCCGGGCTGGCGCTGTCGTCCGGTTTGACGATCTGGTAGGTGATCAGATACTCCGGATAAGCCTACGGGAAACCAGCGTACAGTCATGACAAATGCGATTAACGGTGATCAACTGTATTCATAACTCACCTGTTCACCTCGATACACGACATATTCCGGAAAATGCAACCCACCAGCCGAGGGCCGTCCGATGACGGAGTGATGTCCAGGTGGCGCATGAGCCATCTTCATTGCACTAAATTGCAGGAACGATTTCCCTAGAGCTACCCGACAAAGTAGTAATTGTCTGGCGTACAAAGAACAAACACGTGTTAATGTTAACGAACTAATCCGACAGTGTTCACCGCAAATTACCTATGACACTGATAACACGACTTGTCCTTATGCGCCGGACAACCGATACCGCCTCCGATCCCGTACACGTACTGATTCGACTTGGAACTGTGCTCCGCAAAGTAGATGCCCGCCCCAAACATTCCCCCGATGTAGGCGTGCCGTTCGTCGAAGCCCTTCTGCACGATTGCATTGATGAACGGCGACCCGTGGAAAAGCATCCGTTCGCTTGCTTGGTGCCCGTTTTCCTCGGATATTTCCTTCCGCCGGTGGACGTATCGTTCCCACAGTTTTCGATTTTGAACCTTTTGCACCTACGGAAATAAAGAACTCCGTTTAGCGACTATCAAACTAGCATCAAATCGATCAGATCACCTACCCTGACAATGTTGTATCGATTGAAGTAACCGCCAGAGTGACCGTTGTCCCGGTGCTCTCTTATCGTCGCTTGCATCTCTTCTTCGACGGCAAGAAACTCCTTGTCGTCGGGAAGCAGATCAACCAGAAGAGTGCCCGGGTTCGGAGTCAGTCCTAGACCTGATACGAAACAAAAACACACATTTAATAGATGCGTGGCGTGAGCCTGGGAGTTCCGGAGTGATTTACCTGTGGTCGCACGCAGAGTGGCAATGCCCTTGAGGATCTTGTGTCGGAAACCGTACGCCGAGACGCCGACCTGTTTCAAATCTTCGTGTCCCATCTCGGCCAGGATGTCCATGGTGATCTGTTCGCGTTCGAGCAGCTCAATCAGGTGCTCCAGCTGTAGACTAGTGAGAAAAGCGGACACCGACGATTCGATCGATACCACCTGTTGCATCTTGTCGTCGTCCAGGACGACCCCGTCGCTGTTCGTTTCGGCTCCCTGCGCCGGACTGAGACAGCTGCGTATCGGAAGCTGGAGGGAAAGGCGTGGATTATTGCTTGCTGTTCTACATGGAATCGAATCGACGGAATTACCTGTGGAACTGGAACCGATAGGGTCATAGAAGCACCCGTTGGCAGTGTGACCGTTTCGGTCGTTGGTGAACACGTGGTTGCCATCAGGGAACTGTTGGCCATGGAAGTGCCCCCGTTAGCAGCGATGGATGCCTGGGATGCGACCATGGCGTCCTGCAGGAGACACTTGACGTCCTCTGCCGTTGCCAGATCCAGGCTGGTTTGACCTTCCTGGTTCTTCATGAACGGATCGGCACCATGTGCGAGCTGTTGGAAAATAGAGGCGCGATTTTATAGGAAAAACTAGAAATACTCAGATGGAGAGATAGGCGCAGAAAACAAAATACAATTCGGCAGCAGGGATTTGTTCCTAAATTATCTTGCAACCCTTGCTAGAAGCTAGCATTTCATATGACTTTTATTTTTGATTCGATTTACGTGCAAAATAATAATCGACTGCATCGCAATATTTTGCACATTTCTTGGTGCCATTCATTGACCAACGAAGATTAATTAATCAATAGAGTTAGAATATTGTTTTTGGTTCCAAAAACTAGTTGAATTTGAGAAGCACACAAAACATAAAGGTGATTGAATTTCTGTTCGATTTCAATTCTCTTAAATTTATTCCAGTAAGAATAAGAAATCCTCGGAAAAAATCTAATTGGAATATTCGACTGGCTCAGATTTTGACAGCTCATTTGGCTCAAAACATTCTCTCCGCCCATCTCTCCCTCTGAGTATTTCTAGGAAAAACTAAAGGATATTTAGCGGAAGATTGGAGAACTATCTGGGAATGTTTTAGAGTTAACTTCTTCTTCTTCTTCGCATTTCAAGCTTATGTGCTCTTTACTTAGTGTTTTAGATGCATTTTCACAGTTTTTAATTGCCAAGCCTGTACCATTTCTGCATTAGTATAATTGTGTGGCAAGTACTATCATACTCTATGCTAAGGGAAGTCGATACACTTTTATACCCGAAAGAATCCTAGACCGGACCGGGAATCGAACCCAGCTACCTCCAGCATGGTCTTGCTTTGTAGCTGAGCCTTAACCGACTAAACTAAGGGAGGTCCCAAGTGAAGTGGGTTCATGGAAAAGTCCTGGAATGTGCTAGATGAAGAAGTTTTGAAGTTTTCAAAGGAAAGTAAGGAACTTTGTATGAGAAGTTCAGGTGTTTTCTGGAGGAAATTACAAATTTGGTTAAATGTAGCGAAGAAAGAAATCCATGCAAAGTTTGTAACATTTTAACCTAATTTATCGAAGGATTTAAGTTTCGTACAGACGACGTGGAATAAAATCAAGGTCTGACGGAAACGTAATGATTTTCGAGCCAAATTTGAACTGTCAAAATCAAACTATTTTTTTTGCTGTTGCCAGAAGGAAATAAACGAAGAGTATTGAATTTTGAGATGGTCGACGAGTTCGTGTGTTTGGGCTCACTGGTGACCGCTGAAAATGATACCAGCAGGGGCATTCAAAAACGCATTATGGTAGGGAATCGTGCCTACTTTGGACTCCGGACGACGCTCTAGCCCAAGCAACATTGCTAGTTTTATCATGGTTTTAAAGCATTCTACAAGTCTAAATCGCTGCCTATAGAGCTTTCATAAAACCAGAAATGTTCTAAATATATTTTAAACTCTAAGAAAAGTCTCATGAGAATTCCAAAGAGATTTTTCCGTCTCCACCGAAAGTCAACTGATACGAACGCCACCAACGAGCAGCGAAGAAGGAGATCATCAATCAGCTACAACATCCATCATCATCAACATCAGCGATGACCACATCAACGCTAGTAACTATAAAAGAGTCATGCATCACCGTGCAAATCAAAAAGAAGGCCCGAGCACAGACCGTGTGCTACAAAGCAACCAGTTCTCGGTGCTCGAGGAAGCCAATGAGGTGGTGATGACGCCGTTGCCATCATAAAAAAGGAGCGGATTCCCCCGCTATTCACTTCGATGAAGGATGTCGACCAGCTTGTGTTGGCAGATTACAACCTACACCCTCGGTTCAAGCTCTGCAGCGTCGGTACGAAATTTATGTGCTCCAGCTTGGAGGAGTACAAATCCATCGGGAGTTTCCTGAAGAACAACAAGGTGGATTTTTACACCCATGATTTGCCGTCGCTGAAGCCACTGAAGGTGGTTTTGCGAGGTTTGCCGTCATTCGAGGCGGCCATTGTGAACGCTGAGCTGGAGCGGCTTGGTTCACAACCGATGAATCGGCGACCCTCGCCGAACACCAGCTACCGGGACCAGTTATTCCTGGTCCACTTTACGAAGGGCTCCACCACACTTGCCAGACTGAAGGATAACATTCGGGATCTGTTTCGTAGCGTAGTGCATGAACTGCCTCTCTTACGACCATAGCTTGAAAAATTGTCATATGAAGCCACACTTTAACAAGGGTGGAGGGACTCACGCGACAGCGTCAAGCTGATGACAACGAGACGAAGTGTGGAAAGAAGCGAGCGGAATCATTAATATTCACCAAAAGGTGGCAACTGGCAACCAGACCGGTCACTACCGCAACAATCATACGCCCCCGGTCAACACTGATGCTCAGTAACTTGCACTCCAGTCCCGTCGACTAGAACCGAACCTAGCACCGCTTCTCCTCAACAATAAACGATCCTCACGACTGCAGTGGCCCAGTCGAACTAAGATTCTTTTTACCTCGGAGGAACTTGTGAAACTCGTGGCAGAGGTCATCATCATCCTGCGCACTTGCAAGATCCGATCTGAACAGCTTCATGCTTCAGCCCTGTCCCTCGTCACTAAGTAAGGACCGTGAAGTTATAAAGATTGCGAATTGGAACGTTTGAACGCTGAAGAACAAGCATATTGATCCTTTAAATTTGTCGAACCGCTTAACGGAATCCCTTTATGAAGAGCTTTGAGTGGGTTGGTTTATTTTCTTTAAATTCCGTTATAATTGCTTATCTTTTGACAGATACGCGTATTTCGTTTACTACTTGCAGACTTCATCAGTGCCAAGTACTCAACACCACTGAAGAATCCATCTTTAATCTACGAGATATATACTCATCAATAGGTACTAAAAATCAGCAGGTATCCACTGCCATGTCAAAATTTATCTAAACAGGTACCTAAAGTCAACTGGTCACCTAAATTCAGTCTCCAACATGCTACGATGTGTTGTTTTAGGTAGCCTGCTAAAGAGTCTCGAGTATCCGCTTCCTTGATCTCTATTAAGCAATGTTGATGGATTATGTTTAAATATTTCTAGACTTTCTACGTCTAGTTTCCAAGGTGAAAATACAGTCCGCAGGATATTAATGTTTTCCTTAGTCAAATTGTGCCCCTTTTTAACGATATGTTCTGCAACCTTGGATTTAAATTCATAATGAAGTCCTTTATCCATCTCTTTGTTAGCCTTTTTTACCTCTGCAATGTGTTCCTTAAACATTGTTTCCAAAGTCCTTTTCGTCTGACCAATGTAGATTTTATTGCAATCTGGACAAGAGATTTTGTAGACTCCGGCTTTCCCTAAGACATTTATTGAATCTTTTGTTGATCCTAACAGTGACTTCAGCTGATTTTTCCTACTGCTGAATACTAAATCTAGGCCAAAACTTCTAAACACCCGTTTTAAACCCTCAGTTACTGGTGTAAGAGTTGTCGAAATACGCCTAAAATGATCCCTTGTTCTTTTATCGATTACTGCTTGAATTGTTTTTTCTTGATACCCATTAAGTCTAGCGATTTCAAAAATGTGAGCTATTTCCTTTGATTTGCATGTATCGCTAAGAGGAAGAGTTTGCATCCTGTGAACCATGTGGTGAAAAGCGGCCATTTTGTGTTGATGGGAATGGTTTGAAGTGCTTGGTATTACTCTCTTTGTGTTTGTTGGTTTCCTACCGACAGTGTTCGGAAAATCATTCTCAAATCTCATTCATAGAGCCTCCCTGCGAGAATAAACTCGCGTGCGAATGCGGCAAACAAGATTCACGCTTGAGATTCTCATGCATATTCACGCACTCACACTCACAACGCCGAAAAATCATTCGAACTTTAAATTCCCAAAAAACCACTCAAACGTCAATTGATATCATGCCTATGCATGTTGTGTTAGTTTTCCAACCCCTGATGCACAAACAATAGTAATAACAATGAATAACGCCAAAACATAAAGCAATGAATTTTTGAACCTGAAAACTCATCGGTGATTTTTGCGACGTTGAATTTTGCAAGGCAAAACTCATAGGCGCATAAACTCATGCATTTGAGTTTTTCCGAACACTGCCTATAGATTTTGAAATTGAACGAAGACGTTTCCCTGATGATGAGAAGATCTAAGAAGGGGAGTTTGCCGTCTCTCTCTTCTTCGTGAGTAAATTTGATGTCCTTGTGAACGTTGCTTATGGCCTCCAAAGTGTTTTGATAAATCTTCCCTTTTGACAATGCTAAAGATGTCATCCACGTACCTATACCAACATTTGGGCAACAAATTCCTATCCTCCAGAGTATTTTCTAGGTTAGTCATGAACAATTCACATAAAAATGGAGAAAGCGGATTGCCCATAGGAGCGCCTTTAGTTTGTTTGTAGAAATTTCCTCTGAAAATAAGATAATTTTCCTCCATACAAAGACGAGTAAGCTTGAGAAATGACCGAACTTTGTTTTTCCAAGTAGAATCCTCACGTTGCTTCAGAAGCCAGTCTTCTAAAAGGCTGATGGCTTCCTTTACTGGTACACTCGGAAAAAGTGCTGTGACATCAAATGAAACCATGACTTCATCTTCCCGAATCTCTCCTGATGCCTGAAGCTGACTTGCGAATTCCTGTGTGCTGTTAACTGAGCGAGTGGAAAAGGGTTTAGGCATATTTTGAAATTCCTTTACTAGCCATTTGGCAAGCTTATGAGTGGGGGATCCTTCAGCCGAGATATATTGAATTGCTTGACTTCCTTAACGCCAAGGAGATCGACATTGAACCCCTTCTAAAGCTGGAACCGAACAACCTACCCATCGGACTTTCGGCTTTTGAGACTCGACAGAACCAGTCGCAAGAGGAGGAGGAGTAGCCGTTGATGTGAGGCGCAACATCAACTGCCACCCGCTGCCGAACTTCCAACTCAAAATTATCGAAGCCATCGGGGTTGATGTCGGCGCATCGCTTAGCCCCAGGATTGATAGAGCCTCACTCGCGAGTTTGAAATGAGACGAGCGTAGCATTTTTATGAGGAGTAGAATGCCTACTGCCAAATCATTCCACTGAGCTTCAGAGCTTGTGAGCGAAGG